CCCATGCATTTTGCTCTGCGCCTTCTAGATGTTTACGTAAATCGAAGGCCGTAAACTCGGCGGCACTAATCTTTCAATCTATCTGGGACTCGGGAACCATGTTTGCAAACGGCCTTGTCTGGTCGTTGTGGACGCCAATGTAGCTTTGCGGTCCTTTTTTCGTACAATGCGGCAGGTTTGATTTGGGAGGTCTGATGAGCCACCTCAGGACACTTCGTCGAAGGGCGAGTCCGTTTGACGCAAACCTTTATTGACAATAGCTCGAGAGTACACCCCAAATAAAGAGTCCTATCTTTCGAATACAGCTACAAAGAAATCTTCATGCTACATGTTAGTCACTCATCATCCAATACTATCACTCAGTCCCTAAACAAAGAGTCCCAAGCACGCAGTTCCTATACACAGAGTGTGTCACGGAACATCAAAGGAGTGGCATCTCACCGACGACGTTGCGCAGGAGCTTCAGCAAGAACACGGGGTCGATGCAGTTGTCGTCGTATTTGGCATCGGGGCTGGGCAGTCACCCGAGCCGTAGGAGAAGCAGCCTTCCTAGGCTGCCGATGGACGCTGCACTACTTAACGCCGCACCAGTTGACGCTGCATTTGCCGCACTGGCCCCGAGGCAGAGTCCCGGCCGGACAGCCTCACCGGAGCTCGAGCCCGAAGATCGACAGCTCAGACCTGACCACGGGCACGAGAACGTCAGCGCAGCTAGGTAGTCCTGGAGCCGCTCAGGTCACCGGATGATGGAGGTAAGAGCCTTGGCTCGGGTCTGAAACCCGACCACCCTGATGCGTGGCTTGTCTTCTGCTCACCGCTGCGACTCTTTTTTCTTCTCTCTCATACGCGTGCTTTAAACAATCGCTGCGTTGAACTTGTGCTTCAGTCATTTATTGTTTGTTGGTTCACATGCGTGCCAGATTCTTCCTTGCCAACTTCGAACCTGGTTCATGGCGCGCATTTCAAGTTCCGCTCGCCCCGTTTCGAATTCTGCACACTCTACCCGTTTTCAATTTGGCGCAATTCATCACACACTGAGCAGCTTAACCGATGTAAACGCATTAGTGCAAGTGGAGCACGCCATGGATTCACAATAGAGCTTCTCTTGGTGTTACTCGCCCGAACCTCTTGTTCTAGCGCACCACGCGGTTCATCGCCGCGAGAGGCGAGAACATGTGGATTCATCGCATGTCAGCAGAATCTCGGTCCCCGACGCCATCACATGATTACTGAGAGTGCGCAATGGGTAGAGGCCACAGCCCCTCACACAGCCCCTTACATAGGCCGGAATGCGATAGTGCATCAGCGAGTTATGGCAATGCTGGAACAAGCTGTTGCGCATGCGCAGTCATGGGTAGTTACGCACACCGTATTGAGCTTCGCCATAAGCTGCTTCGCATCAAAATGCAATACAGAGAAGGGGTTGGTCCAAATGGATCGCGAAATTTCCGCATGCATCCTGCAGCCAATGTCAATGTTGTGCTTACGGTCCATACTAATATAATAATATTTTAACCTTTTTGTTCATTTCTAACGCAATGAAGTGTCAGAATCGAGTGAGAATGAAAACACTCTATGCATTACGGGAACAATATGGGCAGAAAGAAAAACGGCACGTGCGAAGCTGCATGGCGGGAAAAAAGCAGGGGGAGCGGAGAGAAGGGTGGGCTGTTGATCATCTTATATGAGCAGAGGGCCTCGCATTCTTTCTAAAACGTTTCAGAATAACCAAGCTAAACCAGATAACAGCAGTTCCGCTGTTTATTACCGTACGTGAAGTCAAGTTTTTTGAGGCTGCACATATATGTATATATAACTTCTTTTCTTCTTATGTGGGGTTTAACGTCCCAAAACCACCATATGATTATGAGAGACGCCGTAGTGGAGGGCTCCGGAAATTTTGACCACCTGGGGTTCTTTAACATGTGCACCCAAAATATATACCTTTTTATGTGTCAGTGTGGCGGATGTTCTTATCAGTGATCCCGCATGTGTTGAAGTATTGAGGGATGAGAGAACACACGTGTGCCTTCACTATCCATAACTACTTCCATTTTTTTTCATCCTGTCATTATATATGTCGATGAAAAGCTGACTCGGAAAAAAGAAAATTTCCTGCTATAACGAGGTTTCGCGTGTTAAAATATACCATAAAGAAGGAGGCAAAGCGACAGCGTTGGTGATGCTGTAGCTTAGTTGTATCGTACCGCTGGCTGTCAGGACAGAATTTCAAACATAAAAGAGAAGTTATTGATTGATATGTGGGGTTTAACGTCCCGAAACTACCATGTGATTGTGAGATATGCCGTAGTGGAGGGCTTCGAAAATTTCTAGCACCGGGGGATTTTTACTATCCGCCCAAATCTGAGCAAAAGGCCTACCGCATTTTCGCCTTCTTCGAAAATGTAGCTGCCGTAAACGGGACTCAATCCAGTGACTTGCGGTTAGTATAAATTAGAAGGGTGCAAATGACACAGCAACTGGTAATTTTTTGCGTGAAGTTTCTCAGTGCAACACAGAGTGAAGCGTAATAACTTTTTTAAACATGAAAGCATATTATAAGTCAGCCATGCCTTTTAATTGAATAATTGGGTCTGAAAACAAAGCAATTCTCAGTATTCATGTGGATATCACACACTATGTGGCGTATATTGCATCTTCGTTGATGATGCGCTTTTTATTTTCTCTTGTCAAATTTGCCAAAGACACTTGCGGCAAACTTTACAGCTTCCCACCAGAAATAAATTTCAATATGTACACAACGGGTTTCACATTTCACGTCACAATTTTAAGTTGGATAAATACATTCCTTTCTTACTCTTTCTCTCTTGATTTCCCATAGTTCAAGGATATTTAGTTGCCGTGTGTTACGCTTCTTCATGGCAACATTTTCTAGCGTAATCAAACCACCCATAATTTAAATGGCCACAACTCCTCACTCGTCATCACATCACAGTGCAACAATGCGATTGAATAACGACAATTTTACGAATATTTACTCAAAGTGCTAATTTTGCGCTATTTCGCGGAGAGCAGGCAAATGCTGATCCTGAGTGGCAAAAGTTAAATCACTGTATTTACTTTTTTTGACCACAATTTTGTTCTATATAGTAAAATTGTTAATTAGCTTAAGCGCGGCAAACTCAAGGATGCGTTCCTGCTAGAAATAGCTTTGAGTCAGGTTGTCTTATTGTTGTTAACTAAAGCAAAAGCTTAGTTGAGCATTTGTCATAAGAACCAGTGTTTAACCAGAACGTGAACCGTGTCGTCTTAGATGTAGTTCATTGATATAGAATTTTTTTACACCGCTACAAGATAAGTTGTTCAGAGATTGTAATCTTTGGCGGCTTCCGCATCTTTTAACGTGACTGCACCTTCACTCATGCATGCTTACAACACTCTCAATGCCAACGAACTGATCTTAATGAGGAAGATCAAACTGTTAAGGCAGCTAATGCAGTTAACAAGCACCTGGACGCAGCATGTGGCAAAGCCCGGCCCAAAGATTGCATCAAGAACAACACTGATAATCAACAAGCACCTATTCAAAGCCTTTTAATTTTATAAATGAAATGTCACAGGTGGCCGCTCCCCATCCATGGAGCGACCTACACTACAACACAGCTTTGAGCTTCAGCCGCGTACGTTCAAAGAAGTACCAACTTCTGCTGCATTGTCTCTGCCCACACTGACGTAATTGCATTTGTGCGGCTCTTTACGCCGCGATTTTGTTTATCGGTGTCATCGCAACCACAGTAGTAGGCGTAGAAGTGAAACCGTTCAAGCATCTTGAAACTGCGCTGTGCTGGGCACGAGTCCTCTCATGCTAAGACGGCATTAAATACAATGAAGTAATTGCATCGTTAGCGATACAAATCACCGCGCACGCAGCGCTGCACCAGCAGCATTCGCTTTTTTTAAGACTGCCTTAGCACAATCTGGAGGCATTAATGGCGTCATAACGCCCCACTTAAGTTCATCTCTCTCAGATGGCGCACCTCACCTCAGCAATTTTTTATTTAACTTTAACTCGTAGGCAGTAGAGCGTCTTGTAGGCTAAGGCGTCGTTTGCACGGCCACCCGACTCAAAGGGTAGACCGCAACATCATTATAATCATCATCTCTATAAAGTGAGGCTGCGGGGAGAGAGTTAACATGCGAGAAGTCTAAGACGCATTTCGTTAAGCTCTCTAGATATGAGCTGGCAGCACTGTGACTTAAGCACCTGGCATTTATCCTCGCGAAGTGAAAGGCGGTGCTTGATGTCCCTAGCTCTCCACGAGCACCTCGCGGATCTGAGTTTCGCAGAAATGGGTGTAAATTTTTATCGCTGCCTTTCTTTCCCTCTGCTTGCTAGATCAGGCACATGCGATTCAACCTTTTTTTCAGTTTTTTTTTCGCAGTCTTAAGCTCTGAGTGCCGCGCCAACGTACATAAGTGGCCCCATTTCGTCCCTTCGTTCTCTTTCTCCTATCACACGTTTTTTTTTCTGTTCTTCTTCTTACTTTTGAGGTTGAGAGAGCACTTGCGTAGCCAAGTGTGGAGGGGGACAGATGGGGAGCTCAGACTCTTCCTGAGATTTTAAGTTATTCCTAGTTTTGCACGTATACATGCACGCATACAAACGCACGCTAGACAATACATAAAATATTGTCGAACATTCAAGGAAAAACAATTTCAGTAATGCGAGTGTGGCGGAGGATGCGCAAAGCGTGCACAGCAGCCATTCCAGCAAGGAATGACTGTTGTGGAATACGCTTCTCGATTCCAGCAAGGGCAGTGGCTTCAACGGCGAAGAAAAGTTACTTTGCCCAAGCTTCCATCTAGTGGTATGCCTTGGTGTAAAACGCGCCCACTTATTTGAAGCCATAAAAGGCAACCGGAAATGTTAGTGACATGTTTAAAAATTTAAACAGGGGACATCCGCTCGCATGCTTCTTTGTCACTATATATATAGAGAGAGGAGGAGGAGGATTATATGAGGAAGGACAGGGAGGCTAGCTATATAGAGAGACATGCTGCCATAAGCAGATAACCTCTGTTCACACAAGGCAGCCACGTTCTCTTTCAAGCAAGTAGAGTAAGTCTCACGATGTTATTTTCGATGTTTCTAGAATTTACGGTAGCAACCGAAATGCAACTCGAACAAGCAATCGAGAACATGTAAGTCGAACAAGCAATCGAGGATACACGCTGCTGAACCTGTTGAAAATAAGCGCTGTCTATAGTACAACAGATAGTTATGTTAATCATATAGCGGTGTTGCCACGTTACCCTAATTACATAAAACAGATCTGTGAATCCTTTAACTCACCTTATGTAACAGTACCAGTTCTATAGAGGAAAAGATTGCTGAATTCAGGTAGCGAATATTCATTTATATAGTAACTCACACTCGGAGCCAAAAACACATTGCAGAGGAGAATGGAAACAGATACAAAAATCTTTTACATGATATATGATGGTTCTTTCTGATGAAATGTACCGCTAAACAGAAACAAAACTTGAATGAATTAGTGAAATAATAATATTGCACTGCACGTTGCACTCTAAAAAGAAAAAGAATATCAGACTTTAACATAGATATAACACAAAAATTAAAGCGGAAATAATACTCAAGACCGCCCGGTAATAATGACAAACAAGGAAGAGAACCACCACCACTTAAGTACTATAGTATATTAGACAATTGTGCCATAGTAACTTTACTGTTTCTATAACGTTAAAGTTTACGTATGAATTAGTAGTAAGTACTCAAGCTTCCCGGATCTTTTATTTTTATGCGAAACCCACAGTTCTGAAACAAATACCGTTCCTTCCAACTTGTATCTTCGTGGCCGAGAAACAAATGAAGCCAACTTTTGTAAGAGTATCTATAAAAGGTGAAACTTTATCAATGATTTCATTATACTGGTCGGTAAGTTTAGAATGTTTTTATGCAAAAATAACGCCATTGCTGTGAATAAATAAATTCCAATAACCGCTTATAGCGGCGGAATATGGCTGTGTTTGTGCGACTGCCTAGCTATCAAGCTTTTGAATTTGTAGAATTTGCAGATTAGCCAAGTAAGCTATTGATATATTTTTTTCCAAATTTAAAAAAAAAAGATACCTAGCCTTAAACGCTTCAGCTCTGCACGAAAATGACTGATGTGCGGAAGCAGGCCACACTTCTTTCATTTTAGTTTACCAAGTTTCAGTAGAGACTCGAAACTGAAGACCCGGCCATGTGCTTCCATTTCTGGCACATTGGTTACCATTGACAGCAAAGGTAATTTGGAGGGGGGGGGGAGAGACCAGGTTCATGATCTGAATAGGCTGCTAGGCAGGCAAGTGTAACTTTGTGCCCCGTGTCACACGGCAGACAAAATGCTTTGAGAGATGCACGGACCAGTATGCCACCACCAAGCTACGTCAGTGGTGTTTGTCACTTGTGCAGGACAGAGTACAAGAGTATGAAAATAAGCAGTCAAGCGAATGAAAATGATGATTGTTCATAACACGTGCCGAACATTTCTGCATCGGCACTCTACCAAACTGCTGCGCAGATAACAGGCTACGAAATGTATTCACATGTATAGGAATATGAATGCTGCTGGTCGGTAACAAATACCTGCTTTTGAGCATAAGTAAAAAAAGGATCTGGTTGTTGTTGAGCTTCTACATGTTGTCAAAAGAACCGGATGCTCTTTATTCTTTGTGTTCCTGGACTACTGAACACACGCGTGTATAAACACACACACACACACACACACACATAATATATATATATATGGAGGCAAACTTATAAGTTCAATGCAAAACAAAATGTTTTTGCTCTTTACCTGATTACAAATATATGCAAATCTCAACAGGTAATTCATAAAGGCGTCTTGTCTGCACCTGTCCTCATGGCGGACATGCTAGTACTTCCTCTCATAATATCCCTGATCGCTCTTGGAACTTCTTCGGCGGACCCGACGCTGAAACTATTTCAGGTAAGCCCGCGAGGACTAACCACATTGTGATGAAGCGCTTTGGCCTGCACGGATACTTTTCTATGGAGTATTAATTTATCGCAACATGACTGCGCTTCATAACTTTCATAGTTCTGGGCACTCATCTCTATTTAACGAATAATCTCAAGCCATGCCTACAGTGCGGTATATGCGGATTATATAGAATTATTGCGGGTGCGACAACATCCAGTGCCCACGACGAAGGAAGTGAATACACGCATTGTTCGCTAAGTGCAAGAGAATGAATTCCAAGACAACGCAAGTGTGGTAGAAAAAGAAGGGAAGGCCAATTAGGCTGATGAGGTTAGGAAGTCCGCGAGGATATTTCAGCTGAGGCAAGCACAGGACAAATATCATTGAAGAATAGAAAAGCAATTTGTCTGGCCGTGAGCGTAGCCAAACTAGAGATAATATACCCAAAACATCACGACAACGACAAATATCCACCGAGCGCGTCCTTGAAATAGTTACCAAAATAGAACCGCCCAGTACACTCCCTATATATCTCTGCAAGATAATCGATCAAAATGTGTCATCAATAATCACGTCGTAATCAAGATCAGCCATACTTCGTAAAGCTGTGACACACAGCCGCAGCTTTCAGCCAGAGCGTGTTGATAAATTTTTGGGTTGAAATCAATTAGAGATGAAAAAAATAGAGGTATATTTAACAAGGAAACATTCGCTTGAAAATGAACAAGTTACAGCAAAGTTAGGTTAAGGCAGTGCCAACACTATGTTGGTAGTTATTGGTAACAGGAATACCGCAGAGTGAAGGGAAACAGCAAAACGCCTTAACGAGAAAACTGCGACATCAACAGGAAATATGCTAATTTCACCATTCTTTATTTCCTGTCTTATTTTTGTATCATCCGGTAAGTTTTGATAAAAAATTAGTCCCATTCATGGCCTTAATCGTCACATATTTTGTGGACATTTCTTATGCGCTTATGATATTAGATTATCATAATAATCATCATCTGTCTATCTCACTGTCTTCCTCTAAACAGGGTGCCATCGCCATCATCATCGTGTGTCTGCGTGCTCCGCCTCAGTCTGCCCAAACCCAGACGCCATAACATTTTGGTAGTAAGGTCATAAATGCAGACCTATACTTAGATTTTACGGGTCATATCTGCACTTTTGTAATCTGAGGAAGTGAAGAATTGTTTATTTCTATCATTACTAAGTGAATAATTGGTGTTTGATTATTTCTTTGGTTATTTCTTTGTTAATTTTCTGCACAGGACACGCAATATATGCCTATACTGTTGTATGAATGTTACCGGACGGGTGTTACAATCGAGCCTGAAAACACTGTCAACTTCACGATTCTGCTTGACGCCACACAATTTTTAAACAAGGGACAAGCTAACACTTGGTACGCACCTGATGGCGCCCAGAACCAATACAGCAAGTAAGTTGTCGTCGGTGAGAGATCTAGGGGAAAAAACAATAAAAATGAAACAATGACATTGGCTACGAACTAAAAGCCCATTAATAAATGACTCGCATGTGAAATATGGGAAATGTGTTCTTTCAAATAGCAACATGTGCTTGTAAAACATGCCTCCCCACTCTCCGCTTTTTGCCCTTGCTGGGATAAATTGTGTGACTTGTCTCGATGCCTGAGCTTAGTTAAAGACCACTGATCTACGTGGATGATGAACTAGTGCATAGTAATGAGTATATTGGCAAGGGAAAAAGAGACAGTTTTTTAAAACGATTATGTGACACATTGTGACTCATAGCAAGTCTTCCCATTCAAAGAAACGAAGAAATTATTTGCCACGAAGTACTGGTATTTTTGTGCTTCAACTATTAACTCAAATCATTACCTACAATTTATCAGTTTTTTTTTTCATTGTGATTTCATGTACCTTAAGCCAATGCTCAACATGTGATTAGCTGGGGTCTACTTGCAGTGTACTCCTTCAGAAACAAACTGACGGTATGTGCTAGCTACAAAATAAACAGCTTATAATTGATTGATATGTGGGGTTTAACGTCCCAAAACCACTAAATGTTTATGAGAGACGCCGTAGTGGAGGGCTCCGGAAATTTCGACCACTTGGGGTTTTCTAACGTGCACCCAAATCTGAGCACACGGGCCTACAACATTTCCGCCTCCATCGGAAATGCAGCCGCCGCAGCCGGGATTTGAACCCGCGACCAGCGGGTCAGCCGCCGAGTACTTTAGCCACTAGACCACCACGGCTGGGCAATAAACAGCTTATAGGAGCCTTATCAATGAGTAGGCCACCAAGCAATACGCAAGCAGTTTCTCCTAACGCTATCAGTATTTCGTATAACAAGCCCATCAAGTGCTTCCGTATACATTAAAGACTAGAGATGATTGATTTATGTGCATGTTTAGTGATTGAACTGGTAAGGGGAAATTCTTTTCATCTTCGTCAGCGTTGTATTCTAAGGGAACCTGTGTGTCATCCACGACATTTCTATGATGAAAATATCGTGATGAACCAACAATAAACAATCAAAGATTGAGCAGGATGATCACCTATAGCAATATTTGCAGCAATAAAGCTATGTACCATAGAGCTTCCCTAATAGTAAATGCTGCTTTGAGCGACGATCCTATACAGGCACATGTAAGATGGAGTTATGTTGCCTAATATTAGTAATAAAATACACACAGGTTTAATATAAATGAGCAGAATAATATGAGGTGCATAATGTCAATTGCGAAAGGGTTCGGTGTGGTAAAGGCGTCCAGCAATTACAAATGGCTCCGTCACGTATGATTGTTACAATTGTCATCTTCACGAACGACAACATAAACATTTTTCAGTTGCGATGCTGCACAGATTACCTCAAAGCCGCAGGCTCAGTACCTCTTCACCTGATAAATGATAAATTATGGTGCAAGGAGTAATTGCAAGTTGCAAATTATATAGGCGAGTTCTCAACGGCCATTTTTACAGGCGCAGCCTTGGCGTCTTTCACGGTAGGTTGACGTGTAAACAGTAAAGCATGCCTATGAAGGTGAACGATCAGGAGAAGCTGTTAAATACCGAGGAAAAGCATCCTTAGCATTTCTAAAATGGCAGGAAATAGCACAGCTCGTTTGTACGTATAGCCTATGTAACTGCTTGTATGAGAGCTGAAGTGCTTGTAATACAACCGGTACGTAAAAGTCAACTGAACAAGAGTGTTAATGCAAACTAGTTGGTACTTCAGCTATAGTCAAGTATCAGAGCAATGAAAAAAGCTAAGAAAGATGCACTTTACGAGCTGAGCTTTGAAGACACTTGAAAACAATTATATCTCATTATCATTCATTGTCACGCTCGTAGCCAAGACATTGATCATGATGACTTTGATGATAAAAGGAAAAGTAAAATACCATATTACCAGGTGGTACCGACAAAGCAGTCACATAGAAGAGTGCGCATATGTGGCGGGATTTTACCCTCGGTGCGGGAATCGTGTCAGATGTTCTAGAGTTACCAAACGACTTGTCCTCACAAGGTGACTTTTTCAGGGGCTCCTTAGTCTACGAGTATGACACTGCATCTTCGACAATAAAAATTACAAGCCCTGGTGAGCACTCCTCGTCAATGCCAGTAAACCCTTCCCTACTTCTCTATATATTGTGTTGCCACATTTCTTCTTGACATGAGGATAATTGGACACTGATATCTTTATGTCTCTTGCAGTCTTACAAGAACAACTTGTCCAGATGCAAGACGCATACAACGGCCTGGCGTACTACTGGAAACTGAGTGTGTACTTACCGTGTGCTGTTCTTGTATTCTATCTGAGTATAACAGAAGTGGACTTATTCTGCTTAATGAGTGCGGGACTTGGGGGAACACTTATTTTTTGGCAGAGTTCTGTCAGTGTCCTTCAAAAGATTGCAGCATTTTACTGGTGGCATTGTGCAGTAATATAATATATGTTATTGCGCTTCACGCCTAAGCTGATTATGCAGTCTACTGCTTATTGTTTGAAGAAATTATCAGTGGTGCTGTTCGTGGACGTTAAAGTTGCATATGACAATGTATTGCTAGAAACCATCTTAGGGGCCTTGGGCAACATAAGATCGGGGAGCCACGTATACCATTGCATATACAGCTCTTTCAAGGACCAAACCTTCTTCGTTCCCACATAATTCGGTGCAACAGCACATCATTGTACTTATAGCTGTGTACCACAAGGTGAGGTCCTGAGCCTCATGCTCTTGACCTTGGCTCCTAAGCCTCGTTGCCATCCTGCCGTGGTCCATGTATCTGTGGACCTATGAGCCCGACATCTGCATCTGGGCATCAGCGTCATGCGTCCATACGTACAAGTTAGAGAGCGGCTACACTGACGTCAAGTTATCTTCAAGAACAGGGACTAGAGCTCTGTCGTCTGGGAACTGCTTGCTGTTTGCGTTTACGCGCAAAGCAATGACCCCATGCGTTCTCAGAATAATTGGACGCACGATCAGCTAGGAAAAGTCCGACCCTTTTCTGCCTGCGAGTAATAATAGATTGTGACTCCTCCTGGAGCCCTCACATCCCTCACATGAAATAGAAACTCGCCATGATCCCCCACGTCCTAAGGTTTCTTGTGGGAAAATCATGGAGTGCATCAATACGAGCCATGCTTCAATTGTATACTGTAATTTTCCTCGGCTTCGTGCGCTAGAGTATATATCTATGCTTGGCAAAGCCGGAATAACAAACGTATGTGTTCTCGAGTCAATACAAGCTCAAGCCCTGAGAATATACCTCGGGCTTCCGAAATGCGCATCCTTAGCAGCGACTGTCAAAATCACTCATGAACACCCTATCACAACCTACTTTCCCGCCGATGCTTTAAGAACGCACATAAAACATGCCACCCGGATTGCATCACCTTTTTTCCAACTTTCAAGCCACGCTCTGCATTCTCCACTATCATAGATCGTCATCGCATGGTGATTTCCGTGACTTTCACACCCGCAGCAAGACCACCGTAACTATTGTGGTGTCTACATCCACTGAAAGCCATCACAACCATCCGTGGAAGGTAAAAGAAGAAACAGTCGTCAAATCTGGCCTTATACAAACAACCTGCTAGTTTCTGAATGAGAAAAACAGTGGACGCATTCACCTTTACACGGATGGGTCGGTTACTTTCAGCAAGCTCAGCAGGTGCAGCGATAATTCCGGAACAATCTGTCACGATAATGTTCACGACCTTGCATTTTACATCATCTACGGCTGCATAACTCTCTGCCATCTGTGCTGCTCTGGCGTTTCTAGTTCAAGAACCACCGCAGACTCGGTCAATCTTCTCAGACTCCAAAGCAGCCCTCCAGGGCATTACCTCGCCATATTGTATGGACCAAATTAACAGATAGTCACTGATATAAGAGTGTTTCATCACTGGGCTGTAGAAGAGCAGCATGACATAACGTATCAGTGGATACTGGGCCACTGCGGCATTGACGGAAATGACAGTGTAGATGAAGCAGCCCAAACCCCTCGTGACGATGCCACTGGTGCAGCTATACCGATATCAATAACGGACGCCACTACAGTACTTCGATCATTTGCGCGAGAACTGGTGCTCGCTCAGTGAAATTCGACGGCATTTACTAACGTCCGTCTTCATAAATTGCACCCACACCTCCAGCTTTGTCTTCAATCAGCACTAACCAGAGCTGAACAGACGCTTTTGTGCCGTCTGTGGCTCGGGGTGGCTCTCACGAATGATTGTTCGTTTCAAATCAGCGTGGCCAGCATCCCGACATGCGACAATTGTGGCTGAGCGGACATGATTTCCCATCTTCTCTGCGAGTGCCCTCGCTTTAGTGCGCCAAAAAAAAAGAACTTTCGAAAATTCTTGATAGACTTGAAAATCACCAATTGTCGGAAGAAAGGGTATTAGGACACTGGCCGAGATCGTCCTCGGCATGCAAGGTAATGAGATCGTCGTTGCGCTTCTTGCAGGCAAGTGCTCTTAGATATAGACTTCAGGCAGTGTCGTTTATATTACTGTTGACCATCTTTCTTTTTTTTCTGTCTCTTTTCTGCCATCTCTTATTACCTTTACGTCTTTGCCCAGCGCAGCGTAGCCAGCGGGTCTGAGATAGTTCTAACCGCCTTGTCCCGCCTCCTTCCTTCTTCCTCCTCGTCCGTTGTTTTAAACTGTAGTTTCCAAAATTTCGTGCTGTCTGCACCTGCATTGCTATTAATTATTAACGGGAGTGAAACTCACAAATTTGTTGTGTTTACTGGCTGATAAATTTTATGAGCATAGGTGAAGGGTATATCTCCCTGTGCGTAAGTGGATATCTGGGCACACACTGACCATGAGTGCAGTTAACGGCGATAGTGTGTAATACAAGATAGGTGTGTAGTAGCTGGGAGTTGGAGTGGCCAATCGTCAGGAAACAGTTGACGAAACACCAAATAGAAAAGGGAACAAAACGATGAGAGAAACGGCATGCCTAAATTCGTGCATAGATTCAATATCACAGACACATGAACATAATGGCTTATTGACGTACAAATGTGTAATGGAAAGCAGGAAGGAGCCAGAAAAAAAAGCAAGGTGCATAGTGGGAGTAGTAAATTCCGTTCAGTAGGCCACTACCGAGCAGTAAGTTTATTTGGCCCATATTGAGTTCTCGATGGCACGAGATTTCATGTTGGCACTGTAGCACTGACAGATCCGACAAGTTGCTGTCGTCAAGGCTGGCTAACACAGCAGCTTGCGACAGTCTCTCTGCACTCTATAGCAAGGGCAGAGACAAAAAAAGCGGGTGCTATGGATTCTCAGTTGTCGCAGTGTTTACAAGAAGCACCATCTTCCACGACAATTGGTTTGAGGAAAGATTATGGGGAAGCAACAGCAAATGTAAATATAAAATTCAACTCCAGCCATCCTTATTAATTTTTAGCGGAGGTGTTCGGTAATTACAGGGTAACACGGAACACCTGTGTGAGCTCCTCGCACCACTCCAAGCGAGTGGAAAGGCAAATGACTCATCGGCCAGTCAACCTGTACAACCTTTTTCTCCTTTTCCAACTACAACAACATCGTTCACGTTCCAGCAAACTCGTGAACGCTGCACATTTTCTGCAGCTGGCCCTTTCGACACGTAGAGGGCTCCGTAAACTGATACAAAAGCGCCAATGCTAGCAACCATTGCAACATGGTGGTGTGTTTGCGAACCCAGTTTCTGATGCTGATGCTGATGACCTCTGATGGATGGCGCTCAGCCACAGAGGGGGACGGGCCAAGAACCGGGCGGCAGGATACTTAAATGAAACTAAAATGAAAATGAAGCCAATCTGAAAAAGTAGTTTAAAAATAATATTACCAAAAAACAAAAATGTTTGCTGAGAAAGCAGTCAAACCATCTCTTGTTTTTGATAGACATAGCTACGAATTATAAGATAGGGATCTGAAAAGGTTAGGCTTGTCTAGCACGGTAATCTTTTAGTTGCGTTGATGTAATCCAACACAGTGGAGCATATATCTCTGTGACAGTAACCAAATGAAGTTCCGCCAAGAGATAAAATTACTAGTAGATTTACTTGTATTCCTAGCTTTTGTAATGGGGCTACTGAAAATCTTTTTCTCTGATAAGAATAACGATGACAGAATGAAAAGGAATGTTCAATTGTTTCAATTCCGCTGCACCAAATGCATAGCGGTGACGCCTTGAGTTGAGCTTTGTTAAGGTAATAATTTAGTTGTGGAACTGCACAGCGCAATCTGGTATGAGTGACCTCTGACTGACGAGATACACACCACTGTTTATTCCAGCAATACCTCAAATGCTCGAAATCATTGAATTTATACAAATTACCTTTTCCCCATTGCAGACAAGCATTTCGGAACCTTAGCGCTGTCACGTAAGCCGTATCTGGCAAAACTGGGATGGTGGGCCCACTCAGGGATACTGCTGCTAAAGAGTCCGCCATTTCGTTCAAATATGATCCGGGGTGGCCCGGTACCCATACAAATTCAGTTTTTTTACGTTTTTCGGTACTAAATGCCAAAACGTATTCATCAGCTCTGCATTTACTGCCGTAGAAAGTGCATTACCAACTGGTAACGAATCTGTAATGATAACTGCTAATGATTCGCTTGAGGGCAATTTCTGTAGGGCAAGAACAATTGCCAATAATTCTGCAATGAATACAGGGGTATAATCTGGGAGTCGAATCGAAAAGAACCGGTCCAAAGAAGGAGAGAAGATGCGAACCCCAGCCTTTTCTTTTGACACAGATGCATCAGTCACAATGATATTGCTTATCTCTAGGCGAGCTAGATAATCTGCTAACTGGTCATTTAAGTACCTATGTGCCAATTGTTTCGCGTTATGAGGAAATATATCATCAAATTGTATGCTAAGCATTGACTTTGGGTTGTGTATTGGATTAATATGTTTAATTTTTACATTCAGTTGCTGCAGCAGCGCTTGTGCAAATACTATTTGCGGGGTGTGTAGTCGCGACCAATGGGTTTCAAAAAATAAAGTCGGTTCTTGAATGAAAGCGTAATATGAGAGTCTTTGGTGTGAACTGTATATCTTTAAGAATGCTTGCAAAGTAAGAATTTGAAACCTATTTAGCAGAGAAGATAGGCGACCTTCCATATACAACACGTTATTTGCAACAAACTTTGGTAGACCCAGACACAAACGCAACGCTTCACTTTCCATCAGTATTAGGGGTCTCATTTTATAAGCTGCGCTGCCAGAAAATAACACACATCCAAATTCCATTATGGGCCGCAA